CGGGGTACAGCACGTGTGGCTCAGCCTGAGGAGTATCTACAGACACCACTACCACTGTGCATCTTGGACAGAAGCACAACCTGGAAAGCCTTAATCAACTTCAGTCAACCTTTATGTGCCATGAGAGAGAGAATCTGGTCAAGAAAATGGGACGGAGATACAATTATTTTTAAAAATTATAATTTATAGAAAAAAATAATAATTTATAAAAAATAATTCAAGAAGAAGGCACTCAGAATTCAAGGGACAGCCTATGCAGAGAGGAACCACTGGCTTGGAGCCTAAGTATTTATGCAGCTCTAGTCAGGAATGACCAGCTACATCAGGCATCTGATGTTTACTTAAAAATATTTATTTACTTTTAAATGTGCATTTACTTAAAAATGTTTAAGTAAATGTTTACTTAAAATCATATTGAGCATTTTCAAGCTTTAACTGCTTGCCTTCAGCAGAGAAACATTTCTCAGGATATTAACTTAGATAATTTCTCAGCTTTGTTGCTACCTTAGCATAAAGTAGGAAACCAAAACACTAAGATTAAATAGTTAACACTGTTCATTTTGTTAGCAATATTCTGACTCACTCTGAATTCACCACTGAATAGCAAGCTATCAATGCATCTCCAAACTACAGCAAGCCCTGAACAAAAAACTATTGGCTGCATACAAAACAGTCAGATGCTAAACCTACTTATGCTCATTAAGCTTGGAAGATCATCCATTAACACATTAACCCAACACAACTACTGCATTATAATGTGCAAAACAGCAAAGAAGAGAAGCACTGAATAATTTTAGCAGACTTGCCAGGTCTGACATATTATGGGTTGCTCTACAGAATTATCTTTCACAGTTGCATGCTGTATCACAACCTCCTGGCAGACTTCTGTCAAACTGGAACGTTGTAAATCCCTATTTTCTCCAGCAATATATGGATTCATGAAGTGTTTACTGTTATGTTGGAACAGGCTAAGACATGTCATAACATTTTTCACAAAAACTATCTTATCCAAAATACACAATAGCTTAGACAATTTTATACTCTCCAGTTTGTCTGAGCTGCCTCCAAGATGAATGCACTAGACAAAGGATGCTGAACAAGCACAAGGGTGCTACCCTCAGTAACTGGGTATCTCCAGCAAATGCAAACTGAACACGAAAAAAAAAGAAAGAACAAAATAAAAAAAAAAAGACAGGTACCACACACAGTTCTACTTTTCACATTTTTCACTTCATACTTATAAGATGGACAAATTTATTTACAAGTTATAGCTCAAATGAAATCTCCCAAGAACACACAGATTGTGACACTAAAGGAGATTATGGGCCATCTTTGTCAAATACCTTGTGCTGGCTGCTGGACTAAAATGAGGTATTTTGAAGGAAAAAAAATAAATATCCTGGACACAGACAAGGATAAGGTAACAGGAAAATGTATTATGCCTACTACCTCTTATCTAATATAACCAGAGGAAACCTCTATAAACTATTTAGTTTTGCTCCAGTAGGACTTCCAGGACATCTTCAGACATTCATTATACATTGCCTCATTGGCCCACTCCTTGCATGCTAAGGTGTATAATATCAAAGTAAATCCTTTCATATCTTCCTTGATAATACTTCTGTGGATAAAGAACTATGACAAAATGCTAATTTAGTATTTGTTAGGCAGGGAACCTAGCAACACATCTCTGTGAACTGCAATCCTCCTTTTCTTTCCGTGGTAAACATTAAAGGGTTTTGCAACATTTTAAGAGGTCACTTCCTTCTACACATCCAAGTAAAAATTATAAAATAAAAAAATCATACTCCACACACTACATTACCTAAAAATGTCACCTAGCACCACGTGACACTCCACTAACTCAGTGGATAAAACCCACTGCTGGTAGAGTCTAGGAGGCTCAACCCAGCGCCTCAAGGCAAGGCAGCAGGACCTGTCTCCAGCAAACAAGGCACACATCCCCAGGCAACTCTGCAGCTGCTATAACCTGCTGCTGGCAACAGCCCTCTCCATCTACTTGAAAACCTGGGAGCACTACAGAAGGAGAAGCTTCTATTCAAGTCTTTCTATCAGAGGAAAAAAATAAACAAGGTTTCCCTTGACACATTAAATGACATTTTAATGTTATTTCACAGCTTTAACATTTTTGCTGTATCTTCTGGGACTATAACTGGAGCTAAAGGGAAAAAGTTAAGCTGCATATTCTTCATAATAAGCATTGCCTTCATTTAACTTTAAAAAAGTTGTACAGATCTATACAGAATAAAGATTTCTGCAGGCTGAGATTTTTTTTTCCCTTTAAAATGCAATTAAGTGAAAATGTTAGAATTACATTTTCAATCATCGTCTACTTTCATTACATCCATAATATACTGTACACAGTCCATGAAACTCACCATAAATGAAAAATCATTGTAAGGAAATGATGAAAATTTTTGCCTCATTTTCAATAAACCACTTCTCCAAACAGGCATTCCAGTACTACACTGTCAACTCCTTTTAATATTGTTTAATGAGCCCTCTTCATATTAACAAAAGCCTACAAAAAATATTCTTCAGAAATCTAGTTAGTGCAGCAACTGTATTAGAAAAGCCTTTATCCTTCAGAACCATGAATAGTAATGAGAATAATACCTCATGGAATCTAGTAGGTGGCATGAATAAATACATCTTCCCTTTTAGAAACCTTTTATATTTTCAATTACACGAACCTTACCTTGAACTCTCAATTTAATTGACTCAGGAAACATTTTCTAGAAATACACTCTTTTCTAAAAACTACTTACAGGTTCTGAATAGAAATTTAATTGAAGCAATTCTTTTTTAAAGACAGGAATTATTTGAGCTACTTCTCAAGTAATGGGTGGGGAACAAAAAACAAGTGAGGAACAACCAGGGCCTGGAAAAAAAGAACTGCACAGTAGAGGACTCATACAAGATCTGCAGTGAGATCACAGATTACACTCCACTGCACAGATACAGCCATTGCAACTGCAAGTGTACTATCAGACTTAATGAAATATGTTCAATGTATTCTGCTTTTTACAAAGAAAATTTGAGAGAAGATGGGCTAAGTTCCGTGGAAGACAACCTGTGACATCCAAAGTCATTGTGAACTAGCTCTTTGGTGGAGGGAGATGAGAGAAGCCAGATCATCCCTGCTTACTTTCATTTCCATAAGCAGAGCAGCCCACTGAACTTTGACAAGCTCTGAATTCCAAAGGGAATGACTCTGAGCTTTCAGAGAGCCACCATTACCACCCATCAAGGTATCCCAGCTGCAGATGAGGCCATGGCAGGCATCTGAGATCAAGAGCAGTCTGTTCTGCAGGGAGCAAAACTGGTAAACTACAGACTGGTCAGCATGAAACATGCAAATTGTAAAGTGGTGCTCTAGTACCAGATATACGATGTCAGGGATTATACCTGTAAACCATAACTTTTTCCTCCAAAATCCACTTTTGGTGGAATTAAATAAAGAAGAAGTGTTTAAACAATGAGCAGAAGGCTCCCTGCAGCAGAAGGACTAAATAACAGTCAAATACAAGTAAAGGAGCAAGCAAAATCCATAAAATAGAGGGAAAAGTGCTCTGCAGTAAGCTTGTTAAACCTTGCACTGACAGCAGTTGGGAAATAATCATGAAATAGTTTCTCGTGCTGAAGTTTAACAGGAAGTATTTTTATCTGAAACGAAAATGTAAGCATTTCAACCCAAATCCTACTAGGCAGATGAGAACTGAGCATACCTTGAGTGACTTTTTACACCAGTGAGCTATTCCCACCACACACAGGTCTCACCTCCCTACTGCTGTACAAGCACAAGCCCAGTGACTCTCACGTAAGTACAGTTAAATCAAAATGCACCAAGCCACTCTCATGGCCTTCTGTTACACAAAATCCACAACACCCCTTATCAGGTCTTTTAGGAAGTTGAGAAGTCATAAATCAAGGGGAGCGTTGTGGGTAGAAATGCCCAAAGAAATGTTAGCATGCATGAAAAAGCTCTAGCTGAATACAGTATGACCTGGGTATATGATGAGACCAGGTTGCCAAAGGTTATAAAAAATAAAATTGGGAGGGATATTACTTCCCAGGCTGTAGAAATGATGTTGTGATGTCTCTGGGGAAAAGAAATGCTATTTAGCTAAAGACTCAAATGTGTGAAAGATCTTCCAACCATCTCATCTGCTGAATTAATCAGTAGGAAGCTGTAAGTTTTAAAGAGCACTCACCATTCCCAGAACAAAAAGATGGTGCCTCTATAGCATCTGGAATGCATTCCTGGAGATCCATAAAAATCACACAGCTATTTTCTGTTTGAAAAATTACGAATAGTAACTTAAACTGTGGCTTTACAGGCTTTGAGCCAATCTAATGTCTCATCACTACCCAAAGGCTTGCTTCCCATCCTCCCTGTCTGCTGTTGCTTCTCTTGCCTTTCTCCAACTCCAACCACTCCTCTTTCTCAATTCTGGCCATCTGGCATCCCTCCTCCCCTGCCCCAAGCTCTGCAGTTCAGTGGACCCTTCCAGGGCCCCACTTAACTCAGCCATACAGGAGAAACCTACTGAGCCAAGTTTTGGGGGGGGGGGGATTACCATTTTATTCCATTAAGTTAGCTCATGGGAGATGGGCTGCAGTAGAGCCCAAACAAGGGTCACAGAAAAGCTCTTGGGAAGGAACTGGAAAAAAAGAGAAGGACACAGGAACTCCTTGTTTCATATACGGTGAGTTTGTTCAGTTTTGTGAAACCTTTGAGGTCGCCACATGCTAAGCAAAAGGTGTGAGAAACTCATGTGTGTTGTGCTTTCT